GGGGGGTCCTTACCCAAGGGTGTGGGTGGGTAATGGCTGATGTACCCGCATAGGCTCCACTCGGAGTGACTAATCAACCCCGTTGAATTTATGCTTACTGTTGGAGTTCTGTCATTGCTGGGACTGTTCATTCCGACGATGACTTCTTTGATGGGGCTGATCGGGGGAGGGCGAAGGGGGGGGGGGCTGACGTCATTATTCGAGCGTGTTCATCATCAGCGAGCCGACCCTCTGAGTCACGGTGTCTGTCGGGCCTTCTGTTGCTCTGGTGGAGACAATTCTCGGCATTGATTTACTTGAATGAGACGAGCATTAAAAATTCATGATAAGAGTGTCAATGTGGAAATGTTGCGCGGATTGTAGGTTATTTGTAGGTAGCAGACTGGGAACTTAGGGGTTGTGGGTAAAATAACAAAATAGAAAATGATAGTGTTTGCATTATGCCAGGGGGTTATTCGATCACTTCAAGCCTTAAACGGCAAAAACTTGAAAAAGACAAAAATTGAATGTTTGACGATGGATATCTCAAAAATTCGCGTGGAAAAAATTATTTTATAATCTGCCCTCGTGACCCTTATTCGGGCCCTCATGACCTTTAGTTTGAGCCTCGTGACCCTTAATCTGCCTTGCTGACCCTTATTCAGACCCTCACGACCTTTAGTTTGAGCCTCGTGACCCTTAATCTACCTTCCTGACTTTTATTCAGACCCTCATGACTTTTAATTTAGCCCTCACGACCTTTAATGTGACCCTTGTGATCCTCATTCTGACCCTCGTGACCCCTATTCTGATCCTCGTGACCCTTATTCTGACCCTCATCACCCTCATTTTGACCCTGAATTTTGGAGTGTTGATTTCGAGTACCAAATTTTCATCACCAAAAGTTAAGTTGATCTGCCTTCCTGATCCTTATTCAGACCCTCATGACCTTTAGTTTGAGCCTCGTGACCCTTAATCTACCTTCCTGACCCTTATTCAGACCCTCATGACCTTTAATTTAACCCTCACGACCTTTAATGTGACCCTCATTTTGACCCTCGTTACCCTTATTCTGACCCTCACCTCCCACATTTTGACCCTGAATTTTGGAGTGTTGATTTCGAGTACCAAATTTTCATCACCAGAAGTTAAGTTAATTTGCCTTCCTGACCCTTATTCAGACCCTCATGACCTTTAGTTTGAGCCTCGTGACCCTTAATCTACCTTCCTGACCCTTATTCAGACCCTCATGACCTTTAATTTAACCCTCACGACCTTTAATGTGACCCTTGTGACCCTCATTTTGACCCTCGTTACCCTTATTCTGACCCTCACCACCCTCATTTTGACCCTGAATTTTTGAGTGTTAATTTCGAGTACCAAATTTTCATCACCAAAAGTCGATTCAGATTCTTATGATATAGAGCGATGTACCGCAAACAAAATACCCCATACCTTCACATCACCACAAATCAATGTACCTAACAATACCAAAATGACTTGTGTTGCAGAGTTGTGCAATGATGGGTCTGCAGGCCACGGCAGGTAAACGTAAACTGGAGGGAGGTGTGGGCTGCATGGAATTCGACATGGACATGGGTGAGAGCCCATCAAAACTTGGTAGAGTAGAAGGCAGCTGGTGGGCAATGGAGGAGAGTTACACACCGCAACTTAATCAATCGTCATCATCGTACTACGATATGGAAGTCAATTCCCAATGTCTACAAACAAATCCATGCCAAGGTACGACAAGTTCACCGCCTGCAGCAACCCAGTTGCATCATCCATCACAGCATTATTATCATCAGCGTAGCAGTAGCAATGGTTACAATCAGTTATCGAGACCCCAGCCACAGTGGGGTACACCACATCATTACGAACCACCAACGATACGAAGGGAGGAGAATGGAAAGAGTTATTTGGAATTGGGCTCGAGTTACCGTGCTAATGAGAGATGCTGCGAGGGCTCAAGATCAAGCTGGTGTAGACGTGGTAGAGCTTGTTATAGACAACGTAGACTAGCCGTCCTTAATATATCAATGTGTAAACTCGCTAGGTATCGTCAATTTCCTGATCCAAGTTTGCATAGATCTGTACTGATATGCAATACCCTGAGGCATCTTGAGAGAGAGATGGAGAGAGATAGAAGTCCACCACCTATGGAGCCTGTTGTGCAAGCACCAATGGCACAATTACAACCACCTGAGCAGGGTAGACTTACACCATTTCCAATGCCACCAATGTCGTCTGGTGAAACGGATGTTGACTCGGGTATTGGTGACAGCGATGACAGCCGTTCAATAAATTGGGGAAGTGTATTGTCATTGTCGAGTCAATCGCCCCTTGATCCACTCAACAACAACGAGCTACTTGATGTTGATATTGGCCCTGAATTAGACTTAGACTTTATGCCTGGATGGAAATTAACACCACTGTCAGCTGATGATATCCTGAGAAGTACAAATGTATCGGTAACTGCGTCAACCGCAACGCAGGATCATCATGTCACCTCTTCAATTAGCACAAATACAACAACAACAAATGGTTGTAATACGAGTAGTAACCACGAATCATTGATGTGCGTTGGTTCATAGCCCCCGATACTGGCGTCGTTGAGCCATCTCATCGATTTTTATCCACTTACGCACCAGGGTAAATAAATAATGAATGGACTATTTATTCGTGGCAATGGCTCGAGATGGTGCTCCATGAATTTTTTTTTTTCTTTTTTACCCGCGACGATGATATTACGAACTGCTGAACAACGATGCACAGCGCCACGGGGTAATACGGGATGACCCCGGTGTTACGGAGATACTTGTCCGCTGCGTCGATGCTGAGGATGCAATGTTTTATTTATTTCACGTCAAATGGGAGTTAGTAGCATGGCTCGTGTCAATTACATGCCACTCCATTACCATTTACCTCGGTTTCAAGTTTATTTTTTACTTGTAATTCTTTGATATCATGAGTTTTATCACCAAGTAAGCCACAAAGTTCTTTGGGAAGTACACTGGTGGTAATTAGTCTGGAAATTTGGAGATCTTTTTATCGGGGCAGGGGGGCTGGTGATATTCATGTGACAGTGAATGTCACTGGTAATTCGATATTCTGAAGGGATAATTAAGGATATCCAAGGAGTTTGGGTGTGAACCCATTTGAACCCAAATTTAAGCATTTAATGAACGGGAATGATTTTTATTGTTTAAACTTTGCAGGTGTGAATTCGAATCTCGATTTTGAGCCGTTAGAAAACATTTTTTTTCAATTAAAAAAAGTTTTCTAACGGTTTAAAATCAAATTCTTATTTTGGAGGAAGGTTGATGAAATAATTAAAAAATTGCAATTTTCTAAGGTCACCAATATTTTCTATAGATAATTTATAGACAATTAATTTTCCACGATAAATATTATTTCGTGGGAATCGTAAAATATTCATATTCTGAATCATATTCAGAATTTTTTCAGAAATCGATTTAATGCCTAAAAAAAAATATTTCCAAAAGTTTAAACCATTTCAATTATTTATTTATAAATAACGAATGTTATTTACAAAAATAATATTCATGATTTTTTTCAAATTTCACGCAATTTAATTGTTCAAACTTTGCAGTTAGAAAATTTTTTAAATCTGAAAAAAATAAAAAGTTTACTGTTGGAGGAAGACTGATAAAATAGTTGAAAAATTGCAATTTTTTAAAACGACGATCATTTCCTATAAATAATTTATAAACAAACAATTTCCCACCATAAAAATCATTTGTTTGAAATCGTAAAAAATTAATTCATATTCACTCATTCCCGAAAGTTTAAACAATTGCAATTATTAATTTATAAACAACGAATATTGAATAAATAATAATTCTATGCACAATGCAATTTAATTGACAGATTTGATGATTGAAAATGGGTAAATCTAGAGTGTTATCTACACCAGACCGTAAAAGCTACTTGAATATCCTTAAATTGAAGTTAATTCGACAAATTGAAAATTTAGGAGCAGTTAAAACCCAAATTTCAGAAGAATGCCAACAGTGTAGCCGACGAAAGATGTAATTTTATCAAAAACAAACACAAGGTCCATCATCATTTGATTTGATTGTCATGAAATAACAATGAGAAATAAAATAAAATCCGTGCCGCACCTGTGTGATAATCAGGTAGGCAATGTGAAGTAAATTCTCGGATTTTCAACGATTAATTTTCCCCCCGGGCTGGGGATGCACGGTTCTGAGCAATTTCAAATGACCAGGGATAACGTCGAGGTGTTAAACATTTTAGTGTCAATTTTATTCGTAACGTATTGAGGCCTCGACTATTCCTCAAATTTTTTTCCATAACCGCTCACAATCGACTAGTTGACATCGCCTGCCTAGCTGGACAACGTTGACAATCCAAGAAATCAAACTGAACGTCACACGATGATTGAATTTATTTAAAATATGAGAATTATGTGTTTTTTTTTTTATCGGTAATCAATCGTGATGACGTTCCTTGAACGGTATACAACCGTCGTGGCCTACGCTCACACCTGATTCTGCACAGAAATATATTTTCATTCTTTATTTTCTCTTTTTCCATTGTCAAATGGTGCTTTTTTTACGAATACGCAATCTATCTCAGCCAATATGCAACAGAATCGCCGATTAATTAACGATTTAATTTGTGACTTGTGATGAAACTAATCGGGACAGTTTTCAGTTTAAGGGGAAACTGCAATGAGTTTTCAACTTCACGGCTATTGAGTTATCATACGTTAACGATTGATTATTGAAAACGAGTGTAATTTTTTGTGTAGAGCAACAATTACGAATTATTTTAAAAAAATTGCGTTATTAATCCAAATAGCCGCTAAATATTCCCAAAATATTCATATTTTTCATTTGTTTCACATTTAAAAAAATTAATAAATAATCCCATCATTATTTAAACAAAATAAATTGGCTTCGTAGAAATCACAAGTGAAAAAAGTAATTCGTAATTATTATTCTACGTTTTTTTTATTAAAAAAAGCCAATAGCTAAAAAATTGAGATCATCTGAACATCTGAATGATAAACAATTTTCAATCAGAAACAAATTCGTTGATTGAGTGAACGAAACAAAGAAAAAATATCCCATTCCATGAAAAATTGAATGAGTTATCAAAATAAAATACAAAATTCTTTAACGTACGAGACATGCCTCGAAGAGTCCGTGAATTTAAAAACTCAAAGTATTTTTTCCCCGAAAAAATTTATAATAAAGCATGCGAGCGTAGACGCGTACCGCCAATCCAATCGCGTTTATGATGAGTAAAAGAAATACCGTCAAAAAGTACCTGGATTTATTAAATTATTTAGAGGTGAATTGTGAAAGAGAATTATGGGGTTTATTATCGCAGTGGGGCACGTCACAGCGTCAATGATCTCCAAAGTAGTTTACAAAAAATTGTAAAGAAAATGCGCACGACGAGCCCCCGATGTGCGAGGATAGCCCATTATTTCTGTGAACTGCGGACAATGCGTTGATAATGCGGGAGAATCGTGTGTCCAACGAGTGCAGCTATACTTAATGATATTAATGAAAACAAGGAGTAATAGAACAAATTGAGTAGTTGAGAGGGGGAACAGGACTCGACTGATTAATTCAAACCATTAATTCACTGAAATTATGCAATTGCAATTATATTTTTCTTTATCGAAGCAATATTAACTTAAATTGTTTGATTTTTTTCTTTTATTGAATTATTCCCTTCCAATTTGGTGGAAAATGTGGGGATTGAGTGGGCGAAACAAGATTGCGAACAAATACTCAAAATTTAATGTTTTAGTCGGCGGGACGCGTCTCGTTGGGGGCCTTTGGGGGGTGAACGCTGAGGGCAGTGATTCCTTCAAACCCAAAATTAACTTTCGTTGGCCCAACAATATTGGCACGCAAATCGAATGGAACTGAAACTAGCGGAAGATTCGCCAGCGAAATATTCGGTTCAGGGGGGGGGGGG